CCGCCTGTCCAACCGCCTGTCCTCGGGCACGGGCGCCCCGCGGCGCCGGGACGGTGCCAACACCATGCCCCTGCCCGCTGCGCACCCAGCGCGGCGCCGGGACCGTGGGCGCGGCGGAGAGGGCGGGCAGCCTCTACGTGTGCCTGCTGGCTCCATCCCCGACAGGCCCGCGGTGACGTTCTCTCAGAAATGATTCTAAATGCGACAACCGAAGGCAGCGTGTGAGAAGGCGGGCGCGGGACGGGGCAGATCCCACACGGACGCGTGCCCGTCCCAGGCACCTACGTGTCCTGTCGTCTTCGCTCGCCCGTCTCGGTCCCCGGCAGAGGAAGCGCTCCCAGGCAGCCACCTGCTCTCCACCTCTGCTCAGGTCGCTTGTGCAGCAAACCCGTACAAAACATTAAACCACAGCCGCCTCCTCCTGAAAAACACGGCGAGGTGTTTTCTGCCCGGAGAAGCTGAATAAAAAGCAAAAGCAGTACCATGGGTACATCCACCCTGTAAGACACGCTACTGAGTGAAGCATCCGGCGCTTTAGCAGTCACGGTCAGGCACTAGTTTGCAATCTCTGGAGGTGATGGTCACCCAGAAAACAGACACGCTTCCCAGGCTGGAAACAACAGCTGAAGATCTTTACTCTGCTGTTGGTTGGTTTTGCTTTGTTTTGTTTCTTTTTTTTTTTTTTTTTTTTTTTTTTTTTTTTTTTTTTTCATCCAGGTTCAGTACAGAGAGAATATTTTTGTTCAAGTCCTTGAACTACTGTGAATCCTATTCCTCACCCAGTCCAACCTCCTCCTAGAAAATACTGATGTTCAGATGCGACAGTAATGAAACAACAGGCACCAGTAGCACAAGTCTGAAAATAAGGACGGAGCTCAACCAGGGAGCCGTATCCAAAAGGGACTCGTGTACGCTCTAGAGGACGTACAGAAATGACACATTAGTAATGTCAGAATATTGAAATGCTGTATGGAGCCTACTCAAGAGCAAGTGAACTTGTATTTCCTCGATAAAACAACAAAATATAAAGTTAACTGCATTGCAAAGATGTCCCTTATTACTTTAATGTACTAGTATATTGCTTAATGAAAGTTCTTAATTGTAATACAATTAATTACATACACAGAGTCCCCAATTACATTTTCCAATAAGCCATTGGCTTTGGTGCAGGTCTAAAGGCACTAAACCAATTTTAATATATTAAGACCAATTTCCCTTGAATACTAATTACTATCTAATGATAAAATGAGAAAGAGGAACTTTCCAGAAGTAAGATGGTAAGAATAAAACTAAATTAGCCATGAACAGTTTGCTCCTACACATAAAAGCATTTCACATTACAAAGTGCAGGCTTTTAGTTTAAAGATAAATCTTTGTGCGTGTTAAAAAGTTCTGCACGCTGGAAACAGTTTATTAGTTTGAATGCTATTAGTAAATGTTGGATAGATAGGGGTTTCCTCCATACATATTTCTTAATAATGGAAAGTTTTCGGTTTCACTTGATACCCTGAAATACAAACTTTCTATTTGCCCAAAGGAAACGGGCAGTTATTTTACCACCACATGTTTGGCATCAGACACAGAAATATATTTATAAATGAAAATGAGATTTTTGAGGAGCGCATTTACAAATAATAGCTGTTATAACAGAGTTTTTCCTGACCGGCATATCTAAGCTGAAAGTATCTCAAATAAAAACGAAATGCACAAAATGAATATTTCATTCTGTTAGGATCCTCACGCTATTATTTTATTAATAGTGTAAAACTGTCAATATTTCTATCCTAATGCCATGCCAAAAGACAGCCCCTTAAGCACGACAAAATCCAATTTCTTGTTGTTATTGGGGGAACCAGGCTATGTACAACGCATGAATTATGACTGATCTAATATACTGTATTGTCCTTGAACATCTACGCGTGCAGGGAGCTAACTGCATGGGTGGTTCACATACATCCCCGAGCGGGGACAATGGCAGATCACTTTAAATTCACCCACATTTTGGGGGAGAAACTATAAGCAGAAGATTTGTCCTGCATTCCTTAGTTGAGTTTGGTATCAGTTCAGAAAACCTTCAGTAACAGCACAGCGGAAAAGAGACAGAATCCGTGGGAGCATTTATTACTTTGCCTAGATTACTGTCAGCCTTGAACAAACTGAAGCAGTGACCTGCTCTTGAACTCCCCAGAGTCCAAGTGCCTGTTCCACCTTCGCTCTTCCCCATTCCAGGCGCTCCAGCCCGCGCCCTCAGCCCGGCTCCTCCACGTGCTCAGCGCGGAGGAGAGCTCAGGAGTTAAGGGCAGGACCGAGGGGAGAGCCCCGGGATCCCCCCCGCGCCTCCCGGGATCCCCCCCGCGCCCCC